GAGAGAGAGAGAGAGAGAGAGAGAGAGAGAGAGAGAGAGAGAGGGAATTTTGTAGTTCCAAAGTTCCAAACACAGAAGTTCACTGGCCCAGAGAACCAATGACAACGTCTGCCTGTAGACACTTAGCACAAGAGGGAGAGAACTTTGCCACTTTGTCTGTAAGGGAGCTGGTAGCCAGCGTCAACGTCGTCAGCCACAGTCCTTGTCCTGGTTCCCTGCAAGGGCATTGTCCATGCAGCAAAATAAAAAATCAGTCACTTCTGTGTGTTAAATATCAACTCAAGTAAATCGAGGCAAAGATTTTGTTTAGGAAATGAATTTAGGGGGCCAGTGAGGTGGTTCAGTTTGTAAAGGCGCTTGCCACGAAAGCCTGATGACCCAAGTTCAATCCACAGAACCGAAGTAAAGGTGGAAAAGAGAGACCTGACTCTACAGAGTTGTCCTCTGCCCTCTACACATGCACGTACCCCTCGATCAAACACACACACACACACACACATACACCACAGTAATAAATAAAGTAAAAAAAAAAAAGATAATGATTTTAGGGGCTGGAGATATATATAGCTCGGTTGGTAGAATATTTGCCTTGCGTACCTGAGGTCCTGGGTTCAAGTCTCCAGCACTGCAAATCATATAACAAAAACGAATGATTTTATATTGTTTATGTGACACTTAACCATCACATATGCATACAAAATTACTTATGTTGTGTGTAGAGACTGGTAAACATATTTCAGCCTTCCTAGTCTGTTCCTTAGCTTTCCCATAAATGACTGTTTTTTCATGTTTTTGAGAAATAATTATTTATGCTTACTTGTAGAACATCTCAAACATGCAGAAAATTACAGAGAATAAAGAGCAGTCATCCGGTTATCTACCTGCCATGCCCCTCCCCAGCTTAACAAATGTTAAAATATTAAGTGTTAATTGCTAAATTCAACAAAGGTTAAAAGAAAAAACATCTTCCCTCCTCAAGCCACTCAGGTAATCACTCATCTGATTCTAGTTTCATAGATTGTTATCTGTCTTTATCCTCATGTGAAAGGAATCCTACCTTATGCATTCTAGTGTCTGGTTCCTTCCACTTCAGATAAACCGAAGCGTTCATCTACATGAACCTATACTGCTGTGGTCTGTTCTCAGTGTTGAGCCCATTGTGTGAACTTACCATTTTCATTATCCATTCTCATGTTTGCTTATTTTCTTGCTTTTTTTTTTTTTTTTTTTTTTTTTTTTTTTTTTTTTGAGACACATTCCTGTGTAGTCTATGCTGGCTCAGAATTCACTATGTAGCTAGGCTAACCTCTAACTCCTGATCTTACTCCCTTAGCCTCCTAAGTGCTGGGAGTACAGGCTGGATTACCGTGTCCAGCAAAGGTTGGTGTTGCTTTTTTAACCAACACCTGGACCTAGAATAGATCCCCCCCCCCCGCCTTAACCTCCTTACCCCTTGGCACTCTGGGGTGGTCCCAAGCTCACCAGGTTCCCATTCATGTTATGTGGCCTCTATGGCCATCTGCCCAGCTCCCTCCCCTCCTACTCCTCTGCAGCCTTAGAACGCCCTGAGGCCCCCAGAGCACAATGCTCCCCCAGCCCCTGGTACCACAGCTCACTACAGCTGGAGGAGGGTGGTGCCAGAAGGAAGCCAGCTCCCTGTAGGTGATGGTGGCAGGTAAAGTGTTAGGCATTTCTTCCCACAGTGTTTTTGACCTCTGCCCCTATCTTATGATTAACTAAAGCCCTCTTCCTGGTTGAGGCCCTCCTTCTACCCCTTTGAGGCCCTGAGTCATTATTTTAGCTACCCCCACAGAGGCTGAGCACCCTGCAGGCCCTGCAGCCCTCCACTTCGCCCCCAGCACACTGCGCAGGATGGTGTGTCTCGGAGTTGTGGTCCTTCTGGGTGGTGAGTGGGGTACTCGGAGTTGGGGGAAGGATTTGTAGGAGAGGAGATCTGTAGGTGGTCTCTGCCTGGTAGGTTAGACCAGTTGGTTTTCTTCTGCAGCTCTTGGGAGGAGTAAAAGACAGAAAAGGGGCTTGGGAGGAGGGATGGCTTGGAATAGTTAGATGGGCTTATGAGCTATGGCTATATGCAAAGTGAAAGCCTCTTCAGAGAGCCGTATTCTCTAAGGCCTTCTGTTTACAGGGGTGCTGGTGTTAGAGGAAAGGTCACAGAACCCACCAGGGATGGCGAAAGGTTAGATACCACCTCTCTGGGCCTGCATGTCCTCCAAGTCTTGATTTCAGGTAGGCAGGTCCCACTACTATCAAGAGGATAGTCCACAACTGAAAATCTGTATCAGGAACACATGCATGTATTATTTAAAAATCAGGTTCATACAAAAGCCTAGATTTCCATCATTTCTTTAGAAACATCAGGTCTGGGCCCTAGGCCTGCTCCTGACTGCCCTCTTAGAAAGGGCTCCGTGAATCCCCTATTCCCTGGTGCCTACATCACCCATTTCACTCACTGCTGGCCCCTGCACTGTCCATGAGGGTTTGAGTATGAGCTCCATCATGTCCCCCAACTTGTCAGGTTGTAGTTACTGCTTCTTGCTCAGAAACGAAGTCACCTGAGGCGGGAAGGTGTATGTGAGAGACTTCCGGGCATGTGGCAATAGGGTCCCAGGTTCTTAAACATCTGAACCCCAAGTTCAAATGTCTTTCTATCACCTGGCCAGAACCATTTTAGAGCTTCCCTGTCCTTGGGGTTGTGGAGTTGATTGCAGAATCTGGAGACGGGAATTCCATTGGAAAGAAGAAGGAAGATGGTTGCTTGGGAAAGGGAGGGGACAGAAAGGTCTTTGAAAGGTGGAGGGTCCCTAGGGCTTTGGGCTTAGTTACCAGCAAGAGGAGTAGGACCTAACGAGGAGGATTAGGGCTGAGATCCTGCCTGCACTGGCAAGCTGCTATACTGGTCAGTCAACACAGTAATTAGATACCTGAGAGAGGCCAGGCACTTTGTCTAGCCAGAGGACAAAGCCAGGAACCAAAGGAGGGAGCACAGGATTCACATGGTTATAACAATTAATCCCAGACTTCTAAGTCTGCTCCCTAGCCTGGTCTGTGCATAATGCAGAGATGGGGCAGGCCAGTCTTTTAAGCTGGCATTCCTTTCACTTTTAGAAGATCTCAGTTTGGACAGTAATGGGTCATTCCTAGCTGGGCCTGGTGGCTCAGGACTGTAATCCCAGAAGGTTTGGCAGGAATATGAAAAATTCAAAGTCTGCCTGAGCTACAGAGGGAACTCAAGGCCAGCCTAGGAAACTTAGTGATACTTTGTCACAAAATTGAAAATTAAAAAGGTCTGGGGATATAGCTTAGCAAGTTTAAGCCTCTAGGTTTGATGCTTAGTACCAAGAAAAGGGAGTGAGGCATTCCTGCACTAATTTACGAGGAAGCAGCCGGTCCAATTCCAGACCCTGGGTACACTTTGAAGTGCCCTTGAGGGGTCATTTCCTGCACTGTTACTCTTTGCATTGAGCTTGGTTTTTGTTTCTTTCTTTGAGCAGGCTCTTGCGTATAGCTCTGGCTGTTCTGGAACTCATTATATATATTGACCAGGTATTCCCCCTGCCTCTGCCTCCCAAATCCTGAAATCACAGGCAGGTGCAACCAACACCTGTTGGGTTTTGTTGTTTATTTATTTTAAAAAGTTATTACAGTTTTTTTTTTTTTTTTTTTTTTTGTGTGTGTGTGTGTATGAGGTATGGGTGTGCAGGTGTGGGTGTACAAGTACCATGGCATGCATGTGGAGGTCAGAGGAAGACTTGTGGGAATTGGCTCTCTGCTTCTACCATGTGGGGCCCAGGGATTGAACTCAGGTCCTCAGACTTGGCAGCTGGTGTATTTACCAGCTCAGCTGGGTTTGGTTATTTTTAAGGAAGAGAGAAGGACAAGGACCACAAATGGCCAACCAGGAAGCACAGTGGGAGGACAGGGCTTGGTCTTCCTGTGCAAGTGACACCCAAAGCTGGAGAGGGGTAGAGTATCAAGAGACTAGGCAGCTATAGGGGGCATGGCTTCTCTGATCACCTCCAACCCCCATCCCCTATATTCCTCAGTCTTGGCTTCCTGTGATGGGTTCAACCTGGATGTGGAGAAGCCCACCATATTCAGAGAGGATGCAGCCGGTTTTGGGCAGACTGTCGTGCAGTTCGGTGGATCTCGGTAGGAAGCCCTCCCTGCTTCCCTGTCCCAATTCCTTTCAGGTCCTGCTGCTGGTGTTACCTGGTGAGAAGTCTTTCCATATCTCTTCTGAGGCCTCTGACACTATCATTCTTTATGAATGGACCCAGGCGGGGCCACAAAACTCTAAGAAGGATCTGGCCTTGGAAAGGAGCCCTTGAGCTTGTCCTCTACACTGGGTGGCTTCTTGGTGTGTGACCAGTGTAATGGTACCAGACCCATACTCATTAAGCTTGCAGTTTAGGGTTCTACTCTGTGGCTCTTTAAATTGTTAATGAGTCTGTCTTTGCAGTTCTACTTTGTAAGGAAAGAGGGATGGGCACACAGAGGCGAACTGGGAGGTTGAGATCTTGGCTCATAAATGTGCCTGCCTCTCAGCACCTCTGTGGGAGGCCATTCCATCCCTAGTCAGTGGCCACTGTTGCTCTCCTCTCCTGGCATGAGGTAGGCATAGTCAAGGTTGGATGCACTCGCCCCATGAGTATTCCCAAGTTTGAGGGAGTGAATACTCAGAAACTACTAGGAGATGAGAAGGAATCTCTCCCCAAGAGATTTATTTTGCATTGTAGCAAATACACATACCACAAATTACATACCTAGCCCTGCTTCTAGGAGTTCCCATTCTCCTGTCCCAGAAAGGAAGAACAAAGGAGTTCAAGACCCAAGAGATGGAGGTGTGAACAAGGTGTGGGAGGAAGAGAGCAAACCCAGGGGGAATTCCGGGAGGCTCCACAGAGGAGATGCTGTTGGCAGTGAGACTAAGACAGGGTTTGAGCTAAACAACAGAGCGCCACAGAGGCCATAGTTCTGCATAGTTCTGTCACTGAGCTGGCAAGCTGGGAAGATGGAAAAAAAGTGTCAGGTGTAGACACCAGGTTCCAAGGTCTTGTTTTTTCTTTGCTTAAAAATGTAACACATGTAGACTGTGGGGCGCAAAGCTAAAGAGTCCAACTCAACGGTATTTTTATATATGTATGTACCAGGAGTAGCTGCTGCTTAGATCAGCCTATAGCCCTATACCAGGCTACCTGATCCTGCCTCTCTTGGTCACCAACGCCCCAAAATTTCAAACATAACCACTGTTTCTGCATCCATCACCTTCAATTTGTTTTTAGGTCCCGTTGAAAAACGGAATACAGTCAGGCATGGTGATGTAGGTCTGTAATCTGAGCTCTGGGGAGCCCGAGGCAGGAGGATCATGAGTTCAAGGCCAGCCTGAGCTATGCAGTGAGAGTCTGAACAAACCAGAATATAAAGGTATTCAATGTATATTAAAATAAACAATATATAACGGGTAATATTCAGATTGCTACGAAGTTTGTCCTGATTTCTTTCAAAGTTTATGTATAAGGAAGGAGCTGGGCAAAGAAAGCCAAGTGTGTTCTCCGTTTGCATCAGGTCCCAAACCTGCAGCATCTGTTTGGGTTTCTGTCAGGAAGCTCTTAGGTACCCCTTGACTCACACATGACACACAGAGTTGCATCTTTCCATAAGGCAGTGGCTTTCTAGAAAAGAACTTTTAACTACCCATTGAACCAAGTGTTGGTTCAATGACACACCAATATTTGCCTGCCTTTCTTGTCTGGGTGGAGAGATTGATGGTAGTGATGAAATGTTTTCAAAATTAAAAAAAAATCCTGTTAAGGCATTTTGCAAGTAAATAGTGTTTATAAAATGATGGGTGCAGATTCTAGGGCCTTAATCATCCAAGTTAAACTGCTTATATTATTATATTTAAATTTGTTCAATTAATTACAAAGTCATCCTTTTGTTTTTGTTTGTTTGTTTGAGACAGGGTCTTTCTATGTAGCCCTAGATGACCTGCAACCCTGCTAAGTAGACCAGGCTGACCTCAAACTCACAGAGATCCACCTGCTTCTACCTCCAGAGTGCTGGGATTTAGTGGTCATGCCCAGATACAAATCACCTTTATTTTGAAAGCTATGGCTTTAGGAAATTGTTCATTTAGCTTGAGGTGATTGTTTTTCAACGTGTTCTCATGATTGGGAAGTGGCATTTTTGGTGCAAAATATTTTTTTTGATAAATTCTAAATATTTATATACCCCAATACACACATATTTATGAATGCATGCAGATGAAAAGCAAGCAAACAAGCTCCCCTTACACAAATGTAACCCAGGCCTGATTTCTAAACAGCCTCTCAAGGAGCGAACGCGAAGAACTTCCCTATGAAGTCTTACTTCCTCAGGGCAAGATACTTCCTTGTGCCCAGAGCACCCTGCTCTCACTGATTGTATGTCATGGTTGTTTCTCTAGACTCGTGGTGGGAGCCCCTCTGGAGGTGGTGACGGTCAACCAAACAGGACAGTTGTACGACTGTACATCTGTTACTGGCACATGCCAACCCATCTTGCTGCACAGTAAGTGGCTTAATCCAGGTGTCAGGTCCCTCAGCTCCCCTAATGTGTACCTCCCAGCCAAGACTGTCCCCCTAAATGAAGTTCTGAAGTTGAGTGTGACTGTGTGTCTGTCCTTTCAGTACCCCCAGAGGCTGTGAACATGTCCCTCGGCCTGTCCCTTGTGGCTGCCACCAACTCCTCCCAGTTGCTGGTGAGTTCTTTGAGTCATGGGAGGGTCATGAGAGGCACAGCAGGGGCTGGAGGACAGTGGAGTGGGGCTAGGAGTGTGTGTATGGGGGCTGGGAGGCAACCTGGGAAGTGTTGCTCACAGACGTCTCTGTCCCCAGGCTTGTGGCCCGACTGCGCAGAAAGCTTGTGCAGAGAACATGTACACAAAAGGCTTCTGCCTCCTGCTGGACTCTGATTTGCAGTTCATCCGAGCAGTTCCCATGGCCCTGCCAGGTAAGTTTGTTGGAGATGAGGCTTCTGGGGGGCACAGTGTGGGTAGATCATGAGGCCTTCTTCAGCCTCCTGCAGAGAAGACTGCCTGTGGCTGAGCGGAAGCCTCCGGAAGCTCAAGAAGGTTATGGGAGCATGCTCTGGCCTAGCAGGGAGGACAGGAACCCTCAGCTGGTTCTGACTGGGTCAGAAGGGAGCCATCCATGTGCTGGCTGAATGGAATGTGAAGGTCTCACATTTGCTACAGGTGTCTGAACCCTCTTTGTTTTTTTTTTTTTTTAATGGCAAAAACATGAAGGAAGAGCCATCCATAAGGGAGACAGTTCTGGGAGGGTCACTGCTGAGAGGTCAGGACTCCTCTCCAAATAAATGCTTCCCTCTCTAAGGGTGGCAAATGACAGAGCTGCAGAAAGTGTGATGCACAATTCTGTCAGTGTCAATAATGGGGCCTAGGGACACCATAGTGGCATCTCTGTAGACGGCTACATGGTGGTGATAGCTGGGTTCAGGTTTTTCATGTACACAGGTGACATTCTCTGGGTTTCAGTTTCTTCATTGGTAAGACAGGCTTAATGTTCATGTAGTTATAAAGATGAAGGAATTTAATGTCTATAAAATGATTAGCGCTCTCTCTGGCACATAGTATGGACAACTCTTATGATTAGTATTCTGGAAAATGATTGTGTGTTTTTATTGAGTGAAGGGTAGAGACAAATGACCTCATCCATGGTCTAAGAAGGGAAGCCAGGGGCCATACAGGATGCTGAAGGCCATACTTAGACTGGAGAGGCTGTGATTCTAGGCACAGTAGGCATTTAGCCAATGTTGGAGCAGCAGCCAACAACCCTCCCGGACAGATGATGAACTTAGTACCTCTTTGGGGAGCAGAAAGAATAGAGAGATGGTGTCTAGGGCTTTGGACATAGGAGAGGCTACGTCCAGCCTGGGAGGTAAATGTCTTCTCATAGATGCCTCTGAAAATCATGAGGTGGGGTACCCCATGAAAAAGAGCAGAGGAGTATAAACTTGGCACAGGCAAGGCAGGTTTGGTAGAGGCAGAAAGAACTGGGGCCCACGGAGTTCTGTCTGAGCACTGGGAAGTACTGGGTGCCTGATGTGGTCCCTTTATTGCACCTATATAAGGACCCTGGGTGCTGGGCTTATTTTTATTTAACAGATGAGAAAACTGTTTAGAAATATGTCTGTGGGCATAAGGCAAAGAGTCTGACTTCTGCAGAAAGGTGTGTAGCCTTGCCAGTTCAAGCAGTCAGCCATATCTGGGTGGGTCGAGCACTGGGGGTCTGGCTGGGGTTTTATTTCTAACACAGAGGGGTTCTATCCTCACTCTGAGTGGTCAGAGCTTGGCCTCACATTCTAACACTGTAGACTGATTTAAAGTGATGCAGTTGATAAGCACAAATTGCACCCAGTGCCATCTTGGATGCATATTTTTGCTTCAGGAAGCACTGGCCCTGGAGGAATTTGAATTTCTGCCAAGAGACTTCTTTACAAATTTTTAAAATTGAAGCTTTATCTTATTTAACCCTTTGATAGAAAAGACAGTACATTTCTTTTACATATCCCACAAAAACCACTGATAGAAAAAGGCCACACCCAGAGCCAACCTTTACCTGGCTGGCTTGTTGCTTTCTGTAAGATGCTCAGCTGCTCTCAGGCATTGGCTGTTGGAAGCCTGGTAGATATAATAAAAGGGGAACGAAACAGGAGACACTGAGAGAACTTGCCACAGAACTGGCCTGATAGGAGACAAGGTTGGTGATTTTGTTATATAGCTGAAAAACTGGACAGAAACACAAGCTGTGGGCAGGGCAGTGCGGATAACAGCAGCGCCTACTGTGTTGGATTGCTGCAACCATACAACTTATTAATGTGTGTATAAAATGATTAATATCGGGCCTGGCCCTCTGTAAGGGTTAGGTGTTGTCACCATCGTCACGTGTCCCAGGCATTCTCTAGGCCTAAAGCACAGAAGACCTGAGGATTCTCAGCCCGCTGTGTTGATGGCTGGACTGTGTAGTAAATGCAGAAGCAAAAAGGGAAGTGGTGAGCCCCTACTTCTCCCTAGCACCCTTGAAGCTCCAGTTGGTTGAGCAGATGAGGTTGGGGAGGAACGGAGAGAGAGGAAAAACCCTGCTCATTTCAGTGGTGGGAGGCAAGTTGCAGCTCTGAAGCATAGATGTGGCACCTCAGGGCTGTGGTGGGTCAGCTCTCTCACTACCCTGTGGATAACACAGGATGTGGGTGCTTGTTGAGGCAACAACAAGGTCTGCACATAACCTACACCCCCAGCACGAGCATGGGGACAATGTGAAGTATCCTATTTGTCTGTGTGCATGTGCTATATCATTCCCCTTACAGAGTGAACTCCACAAGGGCAGAGGTATTTGTTTTGTTTTAAACAAACAAACAAACAAACAAACAAACAAACAAAAAACCCCAAACAAGCCAGGGTTGTATGGCCAAACTTTCCCAGAAGCATTTTCTGAGATTCATTTGAGAATGTTCTCAAGAGCTTGTGAGCAGGAGGGAAACAGGCTGGACAGAGGGCAAGTGTTGGTTAGCAACTTATAAAGAGTCTACAGGGCCACACTCCTAACGGTTATAGAATACGAACTGGAGAGATGGCTCAGCGATTAAGTGCACTGGCTGTTCTTGCAGAGGACACAGGTTTGATTCCCAGCACCCACATGGGTGGCTAACAACTGTCCATAATTCCAGTTCCAGGGGCATGGGCATTGCATGACATGGGTGCACTTACATACATGCAGGCAATTCACTCCTACACATACAATAAAATTTTTTAAAGAGGAAAAAAAGGTTATGGAACAGTAAACAACTGCTGGGGGAGGAGACTGAGTCTGAGAGATTTCCTGGTACTGTCGAGCTGCCTGCGAGTTGTGTAACGTGCTCTGTGAGCTTATGTGAGTTGTCTTACCTGTGTTGGGGTGGGCTTTTTGGTGATAAAGCTGTCTTTGAGTTGTTGTCCCTGCTCCTATAAGTAACTCCTCATCTATACTCCTGTTAGGAGCTCCAGTAACAATTCACCAACTTAGACTCTGAGACACTGAGGGCTACTGCTGGCCAGCTGTACCCAGCTGGAAGTGAGTGCCTCGGTACTGGAAGGGGATGGGGCTGAGAGGCACCATGTATCCATTACGGGTGTGTTCGGCAGGCCTAAAGAATGCCTGGTACATATGACAATGGTTAACCCTTACAGAGGGCCAGGCCCTATATTAATCACCTTACATACATATTAACCAGTTTTATTGTTGCAATAATTTAATATGGTTAGCCTCATTTATAGACAGGAAAGCTGAAGTCCAGAGAAGTTAAGCAATGCATCTGAATTCATCAACTAGGTAGTGGTGGAGCTGGGATTCAAGGCCAGGCACTTTGGTTCCACAAAATTGCACTTTGAAGCACTTTGCTAAACTGCCTATTGTGTGCTTTATGACATCCCTAGAGAGTGTGTTTAATAAGGGTTTGTTGACTGAATGAATACAGAGCCTGACCCCTGGCCTTTCCTTCCTCCTCTCCCATGTCCAGGCCACGTGGTGGGAAGAGGACAGCACCAGTGATCCCTGGCAGGGAGAGGCCCTCTCTGTGGAGGGGTTGGAAACTGCTTCAGAATGTCAGGACTAGGCTCCTGACTGTTGACAAGAAGGAATTCCTGACCTCAGGAGATGGCTGGGGCCCACACATACATCTTTAATTCCTTCCTCCTTCATTGCAGAGTGTCCAGAGCAAGACACAGACATTGTTTTCCTGATTGATGGCTCTGGCAGTATTGATGAAAGTGACTTTAGCCAGATGAAAGATTTTGTCAAAGCTTTGATGTTCCAGTTCGAGGGCACCAGCACCATGGTGAATACTGGGCACTGTGGCCTGGGGAGGGCGATACAGACCTAGGAAGGGGGCCTGGCACTGATGGTGGGGGAGGTGGTTCAGTGGAAGAGTGCATGACAGGGCCAAGGTCAAGGTGCCAGTGCAGGGCCATTTAAACCTACCCTAGGACGTTCTCCATGGCATTTAGTACGCATCCACATCGTGCTTTAAAAACATTGAAAGAGCTGGCTGTGGTAGTCATGCCTGTAATCCCTGCACCTGGGAGACTAAGGCAGGAGGAGCTTGTAAGTTCAGGTTCAGGTTCTAGTTCAGAAAAAGAGGAATTTAAAATAACTTAGCTGTGAAGTCTCTCTGAAGGTAACATAAGCGAGTGAAGATTCATTATGTTTTCTATATACTCCATGACTTCATTATCTTAAAACACATGGGAAATGGCTGGTAAGCCCCAAAGTATTCTAAAATAAAAGGATTATTAAAAATAACAACAAGGCTTGTCATGGTGGCTGCCTTTAATCCCAGCACTCGGGAGGCAGAGGCAGGCAGATCTCTGTGAGTCCGAGGCCAGCCTGGTCTACATAGTGAGTTCCAGGACAGCTGGGGCTACAGGGAGACCCTGTCTCAAAAAGACCCCCAGGGGAAAAAAAAACAACCAAAAAAAAAGCAAACAGCAACAACAACACAAAAAAACCCAGAACCAAACAACAGGGCCATCTGTGAGATGGCTCAGTGGGTAAAGGGCTTGCTGTCCCAGCTTGAAGACGTGAGTTCTATTCCTGGATCCCAGAGTGGAAGGAGAGAATCAGCTCCTGAAAGTTAATCTTTTCACATGCACATCATGGTGCACACACAGACACATAGAAACAGACACAGACAGACACACACACGCACAGAGAGAGAGAGAGAGAGAGAGAGAGAGAGAGAGAGAGAGATAAAGAGAGATACACAGACATACACACGCAGTAAGAATACATTTTAATTAAAATTTAATAAACAGCAGTAGTAGTTCAGCGATAAAGCACTTGCCTAGCAGACACAAGGCTCTGGGGTCATTCCTCAGTACCAGAAACAAAGAAAGGAAGGGGGCTGGAGAGATGGCTTGGTTAAGAGCACTGGTTGCTCTTGCAGAGGACCTGAATCAATTCCCAGCACCCACATGGTGCCTAACAACTGTCTGTAACCCCAGTTCCAGGGGATCTGATGCCTTCTTCTGGTCTCAGGCATTGCATGACATGGGTACACTTATATATATATGCAGGCAATACACTTATACGCGTAAAATAAAAATAATAAATAAAATATTTTTTAAAAAGAAGGGAGAAAGAAAAGAAGGGAGGAAGGGAGTGAGGGGGAGGGAAGGGGAGGAAGGAAAGAAGGAGGAAGGCAGGAGAGAGGGAGGAAAGGGGAGGGGAGAAGAGGAAGCAAGGGAGGGAGGGAGGGAGGGAGGAAGGAAAGTAAGAAAACCTTCAGAGCTCTGAGCCTGGGCCTCCTCGGCTTTTGCAGTTCTCCCTGATGCAGTACTCAAACATTCTGAAGACCCACTTCACCTTCACCAAATTCTGGAGTAGCTCAAACCCTCAGAGCCTGGTGGATCCCATTGTCCAGCTACAAGGCCTGACGTTCACAGCCACGGGCATACAGCAAGTGGTGTAAGGTCCCCTTCCTTACTGTGGCCCTCAGATGTGCCCAGCGCTTCCTACCTCTGAGTCAGCACCCGTTCTCCTCAGGGGGCTTGAGAGTCTCTGGAGAGTGACTAGAGGGGCAAATAGGAGCTGTAGGCAGAGTCCTCCCTGGAGTCTGGTTCCGGACACAGAACTAGATTCCCCTGTTATTTCTCCTTTACCTGGCTCTGGGAGGCTGGACCCTAGAAGCCCACCTGTAGCAGCAACATGCATGGACTTGGCTTCAGACAGTATGGGTACCCATCCTTACTCCTCGTTTGCTATATGAGCAATCCAGTGCATTACTAACACTCTCAGCCAAGTGTCCACGGAAGATGAACTCACAACTTGTTTGTCAGAATTCAGTGAGAGCCCATAGGTGTGTGTGAGATGCTCAGGCCAGGGCATACAGGAGTTGCTACATAAATGATGGTGCAGATCCTTTTTACCTCCTCAACTGGGACTCCAGGATTGTTTCCAAATATAGTCTATATGCCTTTCTCCCCACTTGCTGACCCCAACCCGCCCTTTCTTCTATGTGTCTGTCTGTACAGCACTAGAGCCAGATGACCCCACAAACTTCTGTATCTTGCTATGGTTTTTACTTTGCTCTTCAGGAAAGGAGTTGAAGACGTTGAGTTATGATTGGGTAAACTCCTTCTCTAATGGTGGGCACTTAGGTTGTTTCCAGGTGTGTTGTTTGGTATGTTCTGAATTTACATTTGTAAGAGTATATAGTTACATTTTAACCAACTGTCACAGCTGTCACCTAATACTTGCCTGTGGGCCATTCATGGTCATATAGTCTTTCTAATAACCAGATGCTATTTTTTCAACTATTTATTGTTTCTTGACAATCCTTTATCAAATTGGCCTAAACAACATGTTTTTCCCCCTAAATCCCAGGTAAGGCTGGCAGGCTCTGCTGTTTTGGCAGAGGTCTCTCAGGTAGTCAGACACAGAGATCTCCTTCAGGCATTTGATGCTCATGAGGAAGGGACTAGCTGGCCGGGCTCAGCTGGAATGGTTGGACCTATCTCTACATGTGGTCTCTTTCCATGCGGTTGTCCCAAGGGGTGCCTCTAATAGCGTAGCCAGACTCCTCTCTCCGTGGCTCAGGACTCCCCAAAGTGCAAAAGCATGTCTAGGGGTCTAGCTCAGTGATAGAATACTTGCCTGACATGCACAAGACTGTGACCTCAGCAACACCCCCAAACCCCCCAAACCCTATGCATGTTACTGAGAAAAGTGAATCATGGACCAAGCAAGTTTTCCTGTAGGAGGAGAGCCAGCTAGGATTCATTCGGAGCCATTTTTAGAGAGAAGTTATGACACAAGTACCATCTTGCTCAGAGAGAGTGAACAACATATACAAAGTGTGTCTGGCTCCAGAGCTTCTACTTTGAACCCTGCTGCCTCCTAGGAATGAAGTTCGGTTGTGGACAGAGCTTTAGGAAATATATATGAATACCTTTGTTACTGGTCTTCATTTCTAGTGTAGCGTTCTGAAAAGGGATCTTTTCCTTTTCTCGTTCCTTTCTTTTTTTTCCAGGGGCGGGGTGGAAGGTGGGAGGTGAGGGGATGGTATGGGAGTTGGGGTAGAGTTGTGTGTGTATGTGACAGACTGCACTATGTGGCCTCACCAAGGCCTAGAGTTCATGCTCCTCTTGCCTCAGGCTCCGAGGGCTGATTACAGGCCTGTACCCTTGTGACTGACTCTGAATCACGTTGCAGCATGCCCAATAGAGTCTGGCATGTCCTGGTACCAGGACTTTCCAACCTTTACATATGAGCTTCAACCTTTGCAAAATGATCTTTCTGGAATTAATTATGCCTCAGTAATCATTTCTCTCTATTCCCTGCAGGAAAGAACTATTTGATAGCAAAAATGGGGCCCGCAAAAGTGCCAAGAAAATCCTAATTGTAATCACGGATGGGCAGAAGTACAGAGACCCCCTGGAATACAGTGATGTCATCCCCCAGGCCGAGAGAGCTGGCATCATCCGCTATGCCATTGGGGTACAGTCTCTCCTTCACTCTCCCCCAGACCCAGCCTGCCTCTCATACAGGTGAAGGGCTGGCCAGTGGGCTTATTCTTCTTAACTGCCTCCCACTCTGCTGCAGGTGGGAGATGCTTTCCAGGAACCCACTGCCCTGCAGGAGCTGAACACCATTGGCTCCACACCCCCACAGGACCATGTGTTCAAGGTGGACAACTTTGCAGCACTTGGCAGCATCCAGAAGAAGCTTCAGGAGAAGATCTTTGCCATCGAGGGTGAGTGGGGACGAACATGGCCTCAGAGTTGAAGGGGTTGTTATTCAGTTGTCCCCTGTAGTACTGACGTCCTCAGAATTGCTCCATAGAGCTGGAATCCCAGACCCCATTCTCCCTCTGCTCCAAGTCCTCAATACTGTCATAGCTATGGAGAACCTAAGTGACGTGCTTCCCCACAGGAACCCAATCAAGGACAAGTCGCTCCTTTCAGCATGAGATGGCACAAGAAGGTTTCAGTTCGGCTCTTACAATGGTGGGTAGACTGTGCAATCAATAAACAGGTGTCAGCTCTGGGCCAGGCATGAACAGAAGCAGCCTGGTCCTTAGGTTCTCTGGCTAATCAAGGAGCAACATCAGGCTGTTCTTTAGGTGCCAGAAACAGGGCAGAGTGGAGGACAGTCAAGGCTCTTACTCTCATGGAGCACATGTTGTAGTGGAGAGAGCACATTTAAACACTTTCAGACTATACTAAGTAGTGGAATAGAAGAGGAAAGATAGTCAGACGATGCTGAATGATGAGAAAGGGCCAGTCCTGAAAAAATCTGGGCAAAGATTTCCAACTACAAAGGTCCTGAGGCAGAAATAAAGCCATTGTGCTAGAAAAAGCAAAGGGCCAGCACAGCAGGGGCAGCCGGGGCAGCCGGGAAGAAGAGGCTGGAGAGGTGGGAAGGACCAGACCACATGGACCAGAGGCATGGTGGTGCAACAAGACTTGTTTGAAGGTAGATGTGTGCTCAAAGCATCTAGGGGGATCTCCTTCCTTCCTTGTGGGGGTGAGTAGGGCGTGGTAGAAATGAAATGAGTTGGTTATGAACTGATCACCAGAGCCAGGTCAAAGGTACACAGAGTTCATTAGACGTTTCTTTCTGCTTTTTTATATTTCTTTAAAAATATTTTATTTATTATTTTTATTTTATGTGTATGAATGTATTGCCTGCATGTATGTGAGTGCATCTGTGCCACGAAATACCTGCAGAGGTCAGAAGAGGGCGCTGGATTCTCCTAGAACTGGAGTTATAGACGGTTGTTAGCTGCCTTGAGGGTGCTGGGAATCCAGCCCAGGTCCTCTGCAAGAGCAGCCAGTGCTCTTAACCGCTGAGCCATCTCTCCAGCCCCCTGCTTTTTAAAATTTCTAAGTTCTCTGTAATCAAAAGTTTAAAAGACAATGAGCAAGGCATGCTGGGGAGTACCAAGTACTGATACCTATGGGTGCTGAAGAAGACATCACAAGGGTGTGAACTTAAGGTGGATTTTTCCAGAGAGCAGCTGAAAGAGGGTTGAGGGGTGGTCAGGCCAAAGGCTCAGTGTGTTTGGGAACAGAGAGTAACTGCATGGATCCGATTGGGAAGGGGCCCAGATGACATCCCAAGGGAGTTGGTGATGGTTTTCCAGAAGAATGATGCCTACATATTGGGTTTTGGAAGGCTTGATGCTGGGATGGGAGAAGGTAGAGCAGATACCAGCAATGTTGGAGGTGGAACAGGATGTGAATGAAGAGGGCAGGCTTGACAGGGACAGGGAAATGTATCAGAGACACCAGAAGTTAATGCACAGAGGATGCTGGTAAGAACCAAGGAAGAAGAAAAACCAAAGTGAGGAGAGGTGTTTGGGGAAGGCTTCCCTGGACTATGTTGGCATCTTGCTACAACCTACTCAGCCTTGGAATACCCTCCTCTCAGGATGGACCAGTTCTGGGGGCTGTGGGAAGCTTCAGCTGGTCTGGAGGTGTCTTCCTGTATCCTCCAAATATGAGACCCACCTTCATCAACATGTCTCAGGAGAATGTGGACATGAGGGATGCTTACCTGGGTGAGAAGAGGCCGTGGGAGGGGTGGGCAGGGTGGGGGATGAGCTGGCTGGAGCTGGGAGAGCCTTGGTGCTGAGGCCTGGGCCCCTCAGGTTACTCCACTGAGCTGGCCTTTTGGAAGGGGGTCTACAGCCTGGTCCTAGGGGCCCCTCGCCACCAGCACACCGGGAAGGCTGTCATCTTTACCCAGGAATCCAGGCAGTGGAGGCCAAAATCTGAAGTCAGAGGGACTCAGGTTGGTATGGAGGGAGCCAGAGAGGAGCTTGAGGGTGGGCTGCGAGACCAGGGTGGAGAAGGAGGAGATGCAGGGTCTGTGGGCCCAAAGAGGAGGTCATGGTGCTGGGAGAGAGGCCGGACCTGGTCCCAAGGGGGCATCTGGCAGGGCAAGTGGGATGACTTCTGGCTCGGTCCTCCAGATTGGCTCCTACTTTGGGGCCTCCCTTTGCTCTGTGGACATGGACAGAGATGGCAACACAGACCTGGTCCTGATTGGGGCCCCCCATTACTATGAGCAGAACCGAGGGGGCCAGGTGTCTGTGTGCCCCATGCCCAGGGGGGTAAGTGACTCACTCTTTGGGGTCCTGGGCTGGGTGGTGTCTGGCTGTGGGGTGGAGGGCTGCCCAGGTTGGACTTGATGCTGATTTTGTTCTGCAGAGGAGCAGGTGGCAGTGTGAGGCCACTCTCCATGGGGAGCAGGGCCATCCTTGGGGCCGCTTTGGGGCGGCTCTGACAGTGCTGGGGGATGTGAATGGGGACAGCCTGACAGATGTGGCTGTCGGTGCACCTGGAGAGCAGGAGAACCGGGGTGCTGTCTACATATTTCATGGAGCCTCAAAACTGGTCATCGGTCCCTCGCCCAGCCAGGTGAGACCTTGTGTTCAGCCTTTTCTAGTTCCTCCTCCCTTTCCATGTCTTGGGTCTCCACCTCAGCATTTCTTCAGTAGTTTATTTCGTTGAACTAAATACAAATCTTTTTTTAAATTATTTTTATTTTTTTCCCTTTGAAGCAGCTTTTGATCTGTTGTGGCAGCTTTATGAGTAAGAGACCAAGCGTCAAACTCTGTGTCAAATCCCTGGCCACACCTGCCCTCATTTGCTGTATGCCCTTTGGCTAAGTGGCTGATTTAGATTCTGTTAGATTTAGGAGGGCAGCAAAAGGAAGGAGTTTAAAGTTTAGAAATAAGAGTCAGAGCCAGACCTACAACAGGCAAAGAATGTGCTCCCTGGATGCAGGGAACCCAGCAAAGGCTGATAAGAGCTGTTCCTCGAGGAATGATTATCTGCAATGAAATGGGGAACAGTCTGGTCTTATAGGAACTCTGCTGCACACAGCTGCAAGAGTTAACTCTGTGCCAGGGTCTGGTGTCCTTGAGGGTCTCTTCTCCCAAGATTGTTTGCTCAGACAGGCGGTGAGTTATCTATAGCACCAAAGGAGACAGGTGGGCTCCATAAACGGTCTTTCTCAGTCCAGGGAGTGACCAGTTGGTAAGGCCTGAACAAGGCCATGCTGCCAATTTAGGGCCAGTTAGACACTTTAAGAGATTTATGACTTTCACTAATGAGGATTGGGGCTCTTCTGCAATTCACATGATCTATAATATTCTATGATCCTCTTTTTTTTTTTTTGGTGAAACATAGAAATGATCAAACCACTCCACGAGTTTCTTGTAAAGGCAATAGTGTGTGCAGTAGGCCCTGCATTTATCAAGTGTTTATGGATGACCACACACGATGAGCAAATGATGACTCTATTATAATCCTAGAGTTGTATTTTTGCTTTATTGTTAACTTTCATCCTCACGATGAGATGGACTTGCAGAAAGGTCCGTATCTTTCTTTCTGAGAGTCTCCTGAGATGCTAACAGTGCTTGCTTTCAACTCCTGATCCTTCATTTCCCCCTTTTCAGTTTTGTTCTGATATGCTTTTACTGTAGTTTTGTTCTGAGTCACGGCTTTGCCATCGGCCCTTTGGAGGAGGGTTGAGGCAGAGTCTCATTGATCAGCCCAGGATGAAACTCTTCATTCTTTCACCTCAGGCTCCCAAATGGTAGGGTTACAGAATTACTGTGAAACCTGGGGACAATCAGCTACTGATTTTTATTTTTTCTTTGCTTCTTTGATCAGCGGGTCACTGGCTCCCAGCTCTCCTCCAGGCTCCAGTATTTTGGGCAATCACTAAGTGGGGGTCAGGACTTCACCCAGGATGGACTGGTGGACCTGGCTGTGGGAGCCCAGGGGCAGGTACTGCTGCTCAGGTGAGAACTCTCCCACGTCACCCTCTTCCATGGTGTGTTCAGGTCATCAGTACTGCTCCCCACCTCCTTTCTCCCAGGGGCCAGCATTATGTCCTCGGCCCTTCCTCATGTCTCTTAGGAGTCTGCCTGTGCTGAAAGTGGGGATATCCATGAGGTTTGCCCCTGTGGAAGTGCCAAAGGCTGTGTACCAATGCTGGAAAGAGGTGCCCACCATCTTGGAAGCTGGGGAGGCCACAGTCTGTCTCACCATCTACAAAGGCTCACCTGACCAGTTAGGTGATTATCTTCCTAAAAGTTGGTCCAGTGTTACCCCATTAGAGGCCCCTAAGGCTTTGCAAAGGACTGTGAGCCCAGGAGTCCAAATCTTTCAACCCTTGCTCAGTTGCCTGAGTCAGAAACCTAAGTCCTTTTCTTCATATACCTCAGCCTATGAAGACCTGGAGACTGTTCGTTCTTCTCCCCTACTCCAGCCTCTGCCCCAGCTTAAGCTACCACTTTTCTGGTTACCTACACCGAAGCAGAGACTCTCTGAGTCCTTCTCACATCTATTCCTACACCCTCTCATCCATTATCCAATAAGGATCCAGGCATCATTGGTCCTAAAATGCAAAGCAAGGTTCTTCACCTGCTGACACCCTAAACTGCTTCCCCTTACGTTTACAAAAACTCAAGCCCTTCCCTGCACCCCCCCCCCAGCTTTGGCCCCTGCTTGTACGTTTGGTCTCACCTCATTCTACTCCTTTTCCTCCATGCTTTTGCTAATGGGACAGCCTCCCTCTCCCCTGGAGACTTGGGAGTTCTCACATTTGTGGCTTCTCTTCTTCTCACACTTCACTCAACTCCTGCTCACCCTCCACTCACAGCTGACCAAGTCTGAATGGGCATGCTCCCTGTACCAGAAGAGCCCACCCTTGCACTGCCCATGTTGTGACACCATGGCACATGTCTTTACTAGACTTTGAACTTCATGAAGGTGCGACTTTATCTATCTATCTATCTATCTATCTATCTATCTATCTATCTATCTATCCATCTATCCATCATCTATCATCTATTATCCATCCATCCATCATCTATCATCTATTATCCATCCATCCATCATCTATCATCTATCTATCTATCTATCTATCTATCTATCTATCTATCTATCTATCTATCTATCTATCTATCTATCTATCTATCTATCTATCTATCTATCTATCTATCTATCTATCTATCTATCTATCTATCTATCTATCTATCTATCTATCTATCTATCTATCTATCTATCTATCTATCTATCTATCTATCTATCTATCTATCTATCTATCTATCTATCTATCTATCGTCTACTATCTATCTATTTATCTATCTAATCTATCATCTATCAATCATCTATCTATCAATTATCTATCTATCATCTATCTATCTATCATCTATCTATCTATCTATCTATCATCTATCATCTATCTACCTGTCAGATCAATTATCCATCTTCTCCATATGTATTCCCAGAACTTGATACAGCTCATGACCCATAGAAAGCATTCAACAAGTATGAACAAATAAATGTAAACAGGATGTCTAGGTTTTCTTTGCCTTTGCATTTTCCATTCTTCCTTCCACTGCAGGTGACATCCAGAGCTCTGTCAGGTATGATCTGGCATTGGATCCAGGCCGTCTGATTTCTCGTGCCATTTTTGACGAGACCAAGAACTGGACTTTGACTCGAAGAAAAACTCTGGGGCTGGGAGATCACTGTGAAACAGTGAAGCTGCTTTTGCCAGTGAGGATTTGGGGTTTGGGGAAAGGAAGAGGGATGAAGATCCCAAGACTAGCCTGTAGAGTCCCTACTCTCTGCTGTGGAGAGTGGGAAGGGTGAGGATGTGGGGAGGGTGGCTGGGATGGGGAACCTGGCTCCTCACCTCAGATGTGGTATGGTATGGATTTGGTGGAGAAGCTCCAGTGGTGCGACATGAGAAAGATGGTGGGTTCTTCACTGTTTATTCTCTCAGGACTGTGTGGAGGATATGATGAATCCCATCATCCTGCGCCTCAACTTCTCCTTGGTGGGTGACCCTGCCTCATGCAGGAACCTGTGTCCTGTGCTGGATGTGGGCTCACAAGGCCTCGTCACAGCTTCTGTGAGTAGTGTTTCAGTGGAGTCTTGGGGATATGATAGCTTTATGTCTCTATGTGCTTAAGAACTCAACATATCCCAGTTGTACCCTGCCAACAGCAAATCCAACATGCCTCCACTCAACTTCTCAGGCCCTGTGCAGCTTAGGCTCTTGCGCACATCCCAGCTGGTCCCATTCTCTCCTGACAAGAATCTCTACTTCACATTCTGAACATCTCTTCCAGCTTCTCCCATTCCTACCTTAGAGCTACCGTTGGTTGTAATTCTCATTTGATAAAACATTTCCTTCTTTTCCCTTGAAGAAAACTCCGAAAGTCACACTCAGTAGCTCACAACTCCCACTTTTTCTCTGGCTCCCAGGTACACTATAATCATCCCATCATCCAAACAGAACATGGTTTAGAATTAAACAATCTGCATCTACATTTGTCTTTATTGTACATTTCCTCAGCACACTTGTGTATTTAATTCTCCTGTGGTTTTCATTGCCCCCAAACTGCCACCCATTTGGAAACCTGTCCCATTACTCTCATTTAGTCGTGCTTGTTGAATACTGCCGATGTCCACATTGGACTCGACCCAACTGAACTTTACTGTGCTGAAGTCAAGATCTTGTGTTATCACAAGATCTTTTTATGTTTTATAGTCCAATCTGTACCCCTATCTCCATTCCCTCCTGGTGTCTATCAGAGTGCTGGATGCAACAACTTGCTAATGGTCAGTTTTGATGAGGGCTCCCAACGAGGGGGTTAGAGAAAGACTAGGAGATGGGCTGAGAAGAGAGCAAACTGTTTTGTTGCAGCTCCCCTTTGAGAAGAACTGTAGGCAAGATGACCTTTGTGAAGGGGACCTAGGCATCAACTTTAGCTTCTCGGGGTGAGTGCTATCTTCTGTCATATGTAAGCACATTGGGTCCCACATCCTCACAGGATGAGAGTACTTGTGATCCCCTTAGATCATCTTTCTACAAAATGAATTGAGTTGGAATGTTATCAGCTCATAGTTCATGAATTCCCACCATGTTGCCCCTGCCCCTGGTTCAATTTCATTTCAACTTATCTCCAGTGGAGTCACTTCTTCAGGTTTGATCTTCCCTCCTTAGCCTGCAGACCTTGGTGGTAGGAAGCTCCGTGGAGCTCAATGTGACAGTCACTGTGTGGAACGAGGGGGAGGACTGCTATGGAACTGTAGTCAAATTCTACTACCCAGCAGGACTGTCTTACCGACAGGTGTCAAAGGCACAGGTAAACAGCTCCCTTGGGCTCTAGGTGTCTGGGGCCTTGGATTAGTCTATTTTCTTTTGCCAATAACAAACTATCACAGACTAGGTGAATTATAAGAGATAAGTATTTTAGCTTACTATTCTGGAAGTGCAAAGTTAAGGTGACACATGTGGTGGCCTTCTTGTTGGCAGAGTCTTGAGGTAGTTCAAGGCATTGCAATGACAGGAAGAGTGTGTGTGTGTGTGTGTGTGTGAGTGTGTGAGAGAGCTTGCGTGTGCGTGTGTGTGAGTGTGCGTGTGCGTGTGTGAGTGTGCGTGTGTGTGCGCGTGCGTGTATGAGTGTGTGAGAGAGCTTGCGCGTGTGTGTGTGTGCGTGTGTGTGTGAATGTGCGTGTGTGTGCGTGTGTGTGTGTGTGTGGTTTAGTTTTTCCTCTTCTTCAAACATGTGTGTGCGTGTGTGTGAGTGTGCGTGTGCGTGTGTGAGTGTGCGTGTGTGTGTGCGTGCGTGTATGAGTGTGTGAGAGAGCTTGCGCGTGTGTGTGTGTGTGTGAATGTGCGTGTGTGTGCGTGTGTGTGTGTGTGTGGTTTGGTTTTTCCTCTTCTTCAAACATGGGGGACCCACATTAATGATCTTATCTAATCCTAATTGATTCTCAAAGTCTCCACTTCTAAATACCACACAGTCTGATTAAATTTCCACCTTCCTGATATCTCATAATGAGGATTAAATTTCCAAACACAAAGCCTTCAGGTGCTTAAGCCATATCCAAATCAAAAGGCCTCTCCCCTGTCCTATAATTCCTGGAGATAACATAAGCTCTTTTTCATTCTTCTGTGATGTGTACATTAGATATTATGTATCATCATAGATTGTATGTATACCTACTGAGATAGAAATGTATTAAGCCCATGTACAGGTTGATGAATAATATTAAGCAAGCATCCATGTAATTAGTTCCTGGTCAAAAAGTAAAACACTTCTACAAACCCAAAGGTCTCTCATTATGTGTCTTTCCTTATTGCAATCCCAGTCTTTCTCCAAAAAGCGGCCCCACTTTCAACTCCATGATAATAATTTCCAGATATTTATAGGTTTACCATTCCTGGGTGTGTCCCTAAATCAGACCGTTCAGTTCTCTTATAGCCAAACTTCATACAAATGGAAACATGTTGGATGCACTCTTCTGTGTCCCGAGTCTTCCCTTCAGTGTTATGTTTGTGAGACGTACCCTTGCTGTTCCATGTCCCTTGTAGTGACTTTTACATCGCTGTGACCAAATGCCAGCCAGACACAGCCTAAGGGAGGAGAGGTTTATTTGGCTCAGATTTTAGAAGGTAAGGCTCATCGTGGCAGGGAACACACAGCGGCTGCAGAGGCTTGATCCATGGCATCAGCAGTATGAGGGAGCTGGTTACACCTCAGCAGCAAAGAAGCAAGAGGTCAGGCCAAAAGGAGGCCGTGTATACCCCTCAAGGTCAGCCAGATGGCCATCGCCTAGCTAGGCTGATAAGCACCAAAGGTTCTACAGCCTCTCAAAACAACACTGCTCCTGGGTACAAAGTATACAAACACGTGAGCCTGTGGGTCACATCTCATTCAAGCCCTACCATAGCTGTAGGATGTTTTCGTAGGATCTCTTTGTATGACTGTGCCACTGCATATCCATTCTACAGCTGATGGTTGTTTTCCTGATTTGTGCCATGACTGTTCTTGAGCCTGATATTTTGGAAGGTTATAGCACACGTGGATTCTCTGATAATTAGTCTTTTTCAATATCATTTTCAGAAGTAGTTTTTAAATATTTTATTATTTTTATGTGTATGAGTGTATGCCTGTATGTATGTGAGTGCACCCACATTGTGCAGTGCCGTGGCGGTCAGAAGAGGGCTTCGGTTTCCCCTGGAACTGGAGTTAAGGATGGTGCATAGTCCCCATGTGAGTGCTGGGACTCGAACTCGGGTCCTCTACAAGAGCAGTCAGTGCTCTTAACCGCTGAGCCATCTCTCCAGCCCATTTTTCAGAAGTATTTTTACCTATTTAGACTCTAATTGGCAAGATGTGAGCGTTCCTTTGACTTTCTGTCTGCACCAGTCACTTGTCACATCCAGTTGTCAGTTGGTTGCAGTAGCTGAAGTTTTCATTTACTTTACTCTAGCAAGGGTAAACATATACATTTCCTGGTACTTTGGGATTTTTCCTTTGGGGATTGTTTATCTACATATTTTTTATGTTCTTGCCTATATTTTAAAAGTTAGTTTGTAAGAATTCTTTACACATTCTGTTTGCACATGCTGCTCTAGTGATGTTGTTGAAATCCTCAGCCTCTTGCTTAGTTTTGCAATCCTATCACTCAGTGTTTTTGACACCATAAAGAATGTCTTAATTTGGCTGTGGTTGATTTTGTATTTGGTATTTTTGTGTGTGAGTCTTGTTTAAGAAATTTTACCCCCTAGTCTTCCCTTCATCCCCTGACCCTGCGCATGGGTCTTGCCCTGAGCCTCCACCTGCCTGGCTGCAGCTGCTTTTGTCTGTCTCCCAGCACTCCCCCACCTCCCTGCAGCAGGTGGCCCCCTTCTTTCCCACCTCAAGGCTATAAAAACAGTTACCTTTTAAAAAAAATCTTTATATTTTGCTTTTGTGCGTATAAGTCTTTAAATCAGCTGGAATTTATTTCAATGTATAAAGTGTGGTAGAGATCTAATTTCTTTTTTTCCTCTCTGTAGTTTTATTTTCGGTATGGGGCAAGTTTTCTTGGCATCATTTATTGGAAAGTCTGTCCATGTCCCTACCACTCTGCATGGTCATTATGTCATATATACATGTGGGTAACTTGTTTGAATTCCTTCTCCCCTACAAGCAAGCTCATCCGCACCCCCTGCATCTGGCCTGTGAGGCAGAGCCCACAGAGGATGTGGGCCTGAAGAGCAGCAGCTGTAGCATTAATCACCCTGTCTTCCGAGAAGGTGCTAAGGTCAGTTCCTGCCTCCCCAATCCTCAGCACTGTGCTTCCTTGCTGACTTGTTCCCTTCCCTCACTCCGAGATGACCATCTCCCCTATTCCTTTTTTCCTCTTCCCGCAGAGCACCTTCATAATCACATTTGATGTCTCCTACAAGGCCACCCTGGGAGACAGGTTGCTTATGTGGGCCAATGCAAGCAGGTGAGCTATGGTATGTCCCTCATCTCCAGGCTTATGCCCCAGCTGGATTTTCCTTTCTGGGATTCCTTCACAACTGTATTCGTCTCTCTTTCTTCAGTGAGAATAATAAGCCTGGAACCAACAAGACTACCTTCGAGCTGGAGCTCCCAGTGAAATACATGGTGTACACGGTTATCAGCAGGTACTTACTCCTTAGTCCTTCCCTCGGACCTATGGTCTTTGACCTTCCTCCAAGTCTGGTACCTCCTATCACAGCTCAGCTAGCTCTTTTTATAATGAGCATGTGAATTAGCCTGTTTTACTGCAGTGGACTGAGACAGCATTCTCTTTAAGAAAAGAGGTTTACTTAGCTCACAGTTTTGGAGGCTGACAGTCCAAACAGCAGAGCCAGGTCTGATCAGAGTCCCCTTGACTACATTACCTATGGCAGATGATGCTTCAATGGCAGAACTGTGTGCTAGAGGCTGAGATCACATAACTAAGACAGAAATGCAGAGCAGGGAGCAGGTGCAGCCTTGCAACTTCTCACTAGATCTCACCTCTTAAAAGTCCCACAACCTTCAACAATGCCACCTGAGGGTCAAGTTCCAAGTGTATGAACCCTGGGAGGACAAATTCAAACCATACCCCAAGTAAACTAGCCTCTAAGCTTCCTCCCCTGGAAATTATTGTGCAGGTTCCCAGCCATATATTTAGAGCACACCGTGAAAGACTGTGCAGTTCTTCTCTGATGAAATGGTCTTCTTGTGGGACACCTTGTCGCCATTGTTAACTTCCTTTTCTTCCTCCAATATTCAGTCTTTCTTTCATTTGATGCCAATTCTTGGTGCTAAACATGAACATGCTAAGTAAAGCTATTAGACTGAGAACAAGACTTTTCTGAGCCCTCTGACCTGGGGAGCTTGTGCCCAACAGGATATGGTCTGTTACCACAGAGAAGAAGAGAAAGGTCAGGGGAGCATCAAGGGCAGAGCTCTTGCTGTGGGTTTTGAAGGTGGGTGGGTAAGCAGGGCCAGGTCAGGCTGGAAGCAAGCAAGGAACTCTCAACACTGGAGAGAGAGAGAGAGAGAGAGAGAGAGAGAGAGAGAGAGAGAGAGAGAGAACTAGCTATCTCAAAGTTTAGAGTACCATGGGCCAAGTTTGCTTCTGAATTTATAGGTGTACTGGAGGGGGTGAGGTTCAATGTGTCATTGTCAGTGACATGACCCATGGACTACATGTGTGAATTTCCCCTTCTGTCCATAGGGAAATACTTATACTAGAGCTTGTAGTTATACATACTTAGGCTATTTCAAACATTTTGGTTATTGTGGAGTTTGGGGGGGTGTTGCTTTTATTATATGTGTATTTATAGTCATTGAATCCTCTCAGTAACTATATTGTTACTCTCATTTTCACCAATTAAAAAAATCAAGAGATTAAGTAAGTTGACCCTATATTTACCAAGTAAGTCATATTCAGTGTCTCCTACAAGGCCAACCTACAAAGCCAACCTGCATAACAAGTTGCTTATGAGGTGCAAAGCAAATAAGTGGGCCCAGATGATTCTTCTGGAGAGAGCCTGTGCCCACTGTCATATGCTACATACCTCTCTGAAGACTAAGGAAGGCTGGGTGATTTGCTTAGATCTGAGGAGAGGCTTAAGGCTGAGGAGATTGCTCAGTGGGTGAAAGCACCTGCCGCCAAGCCTAATGACCAGAGGTTGATCTCTGGGACCCACATGTAGAAGAAGAGAACTGACTCCCACAAGTTGTCCTTTGACCTTCACATGTGTGCTATGGCACCCCCTGCAAATAAATTAGTTAAATGTTTTTAAATGGAAGAGTTTAGAACTGGAAGATTTTAAGGTAAGAACGTGGGAGCACAGATAGAAGTTGTTTGGGGATCAAAGAGGAATTCTGGCTAGCAAACCCTAATGCTTATGGAGAACACATTTGTGCTGGATGCTGCACCAATCCTCATCACAACTCTATTAGCATCCCTATTTCAGGGAGGAAAAAATGACAGGACTCTAGTAAGGTTAAATAACTTATCTCAAGTTACTCCTTTGGGTAGGAAGTGGCAAATCTCGGATGTGAAACTCAGACAATTTGTCACCAGTGCCTTTGTACTGAGAATCAAACCTGGGGCCTAGTGCATGCTAAGCAAGTGGTCTGACACTGAGCTATGTTCTCAGTCCCTTCTGTAAACAGCAAGTTGATAGTGTGAAAACTGTTGGGCCCACAGAGTTTCTGGGTAGATGATCTGATGTTTGGGTGCTGGTGGAAAGTGCAGTTCCTTTTTGCCTTCCTCTTTTTGACTTTTTTTTTCTTTTGAGAAAGGATCTCTTTGTAGCCCCAGCTGACCTGGAACTCACTGTGGAGAGCAGGCTGGCCTCCATCTCCCAGAGATCTGCCTGCCTATGCCTTCTGAGTGGTGGGATTAAAGGTGTGCGCCATGATGCATGATCTTTTTATTTTCTTCATCCTAGTGAGATATTAGATTCTTAATATTCTTAAATATCAAGAAGGCAAGGATTCTGGCTTGACTTGAAGTCTCCAGGACTATCCAAATAGCCTGGTGTATGAAAATGTTTACCGAAAGCAGCGGCTAAGCAAACTGTGTTGGCTCACAGATGTAATCTTAGCACTTGGAAGCCAGAGGCAGGAAGATTGCTACACTTTTAAAGCCAGTCTGGGCTACACAGTGAATTCTAGGCCAGCTTGGACTATAGTGTGAGACTTTGTCTCAAAAATACAAAAAAACCAAAATAAAATTAAAATTAATTTTTTTTTTGGTCTTTTTTTGAGACAGGGTCTCCCTGTAGTCCCAGCTGTCCTGGAACTCGCTATGTGGACCAGGCTGGCCTTGAACTCACAGAGATCTGCCTGCCTCTGCCTCCCAAGTGCTGGGATTAAAGGTGTGCACCACCTCTCCCTGCTAAAATTAATTTTTTAAAAAAGAAAGACAGACCGTGTACGGTTGGTAGATGGAAATCTTTCGGTTGGGAACACTTATGTCCCCTCTAGGTCTGTGCACCATTTTCTTTCACATTTACTTACCTGCCCCACTGTGACCACATCCACTGTCATTATTGCCACCAAGAGACGGGCTTGCACTCCATTTCCCCTGAGTAATCTAGCTGTCACTTCATAGCATCTCTGCAGGCATATTTGTTCTGGCAGACAGCTGGCAAGGATTCTCTGAGGCTAGTGTGTGTCTATTGAGGAAAGCATTAGGAGTGCCTTTTTCCTCCAGGGAAATGTTTAAGTTGGGGCTTGAAGTGAAAATTCCTAGAACAAGAGTAAGAACATCTCAAACTAAAGAAAGAGCTTGAGTGAAGCCATGGGGCTATAAAAGAGCCAGGGGCATCAAGGGAGAAACTGAGTGGCTGGGGCAAAGGACATTGGAGGAAGAGGAGAGGAAAAGCTGGCACTCGGGCTGCAGAGGTACACGGAAACTTGTTGTTTTCCGGAGTCATCTGCTGGGCCCAAAGGAGCTCTCTGCAGCAAGCTGGGGCTCAAGTGGAGATGGTCTCGGCTGCCTTTCACCAACATGCCCTTTTCTCCAGGCAGGAAGACTCCACCAAGTATTTCAACTTTTCATCTTCTGATGAGAAGAACAGGAAAGAGGCCAAACATCGATACCGAGTGAGAAGCTAGGGAATATTCATGTCAGTCTCAGCTCAAGATGGAGAAGCCTGGAGAGCTATGGGTAGGAAAGAAGTGGGATTTGGGGTATTCTAGAAACTACAATACTATCTGGTCTCCATTTCCTGCAGGTGAATAACCTGAGTCAGAGGGAGCTGGCTGTTAGTGTTAACTTCTGGGTTCCCATCATGCTGAACAGTGTGGTTGTGTGGGATGTGGCTGTGAGGACCCCATCACAGGTGCCAGTCTATGTTGGTTTTCTCACCAAGATCCCTTTTCACAGTACTACCTCTCTTGCATCAGGAAAATGTTCATTGTTATATAGCTAAGTCTCTCTCTCTCTCTCTCTCTCTCTCTCTCTCTCTCTCTCTTTCTTCCTCTAGGATGTTCTCTGTACATCACAGAGGAAACCTCCCCAGCATTCTGACTTCCTGACTCAAATTCAAAGGAATTCTGTTCTGGTGAGAGAAGCCTAGCTACCCTGGGGGACACAGAGAAATTATTGCTGAATCATAGAGTTGTACAGTCAGCTTGTCATTGTTTACATTCTCTACCCCAGGTTGGACAGCCTTTACTTTCTCTTTGATTTCCTTGTATGTGAACACTTTCTTCCTCATTTCATTTCTCTCCTGTCCCCAGGACTGTTCCATCGCTGACTGCCTGTGGCTCCGCTGTGGCATCCCCTCCCTGGGCAGCCAGGAGGAGCTTGACTTCATTCTGAAGGGCAACCTCAGCTTCAGCTGGGTCAGCCAGGTGTGTGGCCAATGGCAGAGGCCCTCCCTGGTCCATGTGTGCCTGGTGGGTCTGAGGCATCCTTAGGCCAGGACATTTTTTGAACCCTGAGTTCCCTCCAGATCTAATTCCCAGCTCTGCCCCACCCTGTCTTTCTCAGACATTGCAGAAGAAGGTGTTGGTCATGAGTGTGGCTGAAATCAGTTTCAACACATCTGTATATTCCCAGATTCCAGGACAGGAGGCATTCCTGAGAGCCCAGGTAGGCAGTGTGGCAGACTGTGACTAGGCTGGTAGGATCCTGATGTTCAATCTGTGGTCCTGGCTGAGGGATTTGCAGGCCCAGAGGGAGGAGGGATGAAGGTCTGTAAGCAGGACAGGTGCCTCAGAGTACATGAGTGCCTTTGTATCTCAGCCCTTGGAACAGAGCCTGGGTAAAGAGGGGAGGGAGTTAAAGTCTGGGAACATGGCTGGGAGTGTGTGTGAGGCAGCTTTCTGGTCTCCAAATTAGGTGGAGATGGTGCTAGAAGAATACGAGGTCTATGATCCCATCTTCCTCTTGGTGGGCAGCTCAGTGGGAGGTCTACTGTTGCTGGCTCTCATCACAGCCATACTGTACAAGGTGAGTGTTTTCTCTTCACAGTACTAATCCTCAGCCTTGAGTAGGAGAGTATAGTGAAAGCTTGGACTGTTGTCCGACAGGCCTAGGCACACGTTTGGTCTCTATCATTCACAGTTTAATTTAGGCAAGTTGCTTAGGCAAATTGCTTGACTTCTTTCTCATTTTTGAAATAATAATAAGACTTATATCACAGATAGTCTGAAGTGAGATCAAAATCAGACCATGATATATATGCGTGCAAATCTGCCTGACTGGATCTATGTTTTTCTCCTATGGATTATATAGGAGTAACAACTGCTTGGCACACAATCTATTTCAATATATGATAGCTATTCACATGACTGTCCTGGCACCAAGCAAAGTTAGCTCAGTTCCCTTCTCATCAACTTCCTCCTCCTCTCAGTGCCCTTCCATGCTTTCTTACCCAGATTTTCTGTTTTTACCACTTCTCATAGCTTGGCTTCTTCAAGCGTCAGTACAAAGAAATGCTGGATGGCAAGCCTGCAGACCCTGCCACAGCCGGTGGGGAGGACTTCAGTCGTGAGGCCCCACTTCTGCCTACACCCGAGTAATCCACTTTCCTGTTTATCTCTACCACCAAGAGCTGGTCTTGTTTATGCCTATCAGTCCACTGCCATGAAAACAACTTCTCACGGGTCAGTAGTGGCCTGGGCAGCCTATCAGATGCTGGGCCATACTTCCTGAGTTAAAGATTTGGATGTTTTTACCTAGGTGTCAAACTTCTTCAGTGCTAATCTACTTTTTGGAGGAGCAGGCATGGTGCTGGCATAAAATTTCATATGAATAAGAATTATCACACATTATGAGCTAGGTGAATATACTCAATGTACAATATTTTTAAACAAATAACGAATATTTTTAAAATAAAAAAGAAAATTCAGAAAAAATGCTTTTTCCTTGTATGGAAGATCTTGAATCCAGGGACCAAATGCTGTTCTTGGAATAGTTGCAAACCCATTTTTGTGTACTTAAAAAGTCCTCTTGCTTCCTTAAGTAACTGGGACCTGAGGTGTGTTTTCTTGATGGTTCTGAGAACAATATCAGGGGAGACGGTAAAAAGAATTGTGTGTGTCGGGGGGCACTCATGGATTACAGGGGCCCAAGGTTGTGGATGAAATGTTCCCCTTGAATAGGGTGTCCAGAAGCCAGGAGAGCCAGACTTCCTGAAAGAAGTATCTGATTTCTGCTTATTATTACAGAAGACCCATGAAAAGTCAGCACTAAAGGACATAATAGAAGATGACCAAACTATTCCAAATTCAGAATTAGGTCCCAGACCTGGTACAGAAGATTGTAGAGCCATGTTGGAATTAAGGCTATCTATCATCAGGCAGCCAGAATTCACAGATGCTTAGGCATGGACATGTCAGGAGAAAAGCATCTTCAGGGTCTGCTACCCTGGTTTCCCAGGGGCTGCAATCAACTGCTTCAACTAGAAGATCAGTTAATCACTGAGACTCTCCCACCCTCCTCTAGAGAAGGAGAACCAAGATTCTGTCTTGCCCCAAGTTGTGTAAGGATTCAGTTTATCGGGAAATCCTGTACAACCTAGGATCTTTTTGGTAACCGGAGGGTGCAGGGACTCCTACATGGTGCTCATGAAGAAAGCCCCTTTGGAACATTTTGCCTGTCAGCCATTTGGGAACAAACACTGCATGCCAACAGCCCTGCAGGCATGCTCTGAGGGGGTTTTCAGTATGACCATCGGTTACCACCCTGAGGGTTTCTGCTCTGTCCCCAAAGAGCCAGAGGACACAAAAGTTCCACACCTTTATTGCACTTGAAGCTTCTGCTGGGACCCCAGGGGCGCTCACAGCCTGTGGGCAAAGGGTTGACCTGGAGACTGTGGAAGAACATGTCCACTGGAACCTCAAGGGTGCTCATAGCCCGTGGGCAAAGGATTGACGCGGGGATTGTGGAAGAGCGTGTGGTTGCCATCCCCCCAGGAGAAGGGCTGTAGAGAAAGCAGACAGGTCACCTTAGTCCCTCCTCTGGGATCTCCTGAAGCCCCTCACCCATCTTTTGCTGTACCTTGGTGCGGATGCGGAGATGGTGATATGGGATGAATTCTGGGCGCTCATGATGGCCTGCATGCATCCAGCAGTTGAGGGAACAGAGGGCCACACTGGGAAGCGCCAGCACGAAGGTCAGGAGGCGCCAGGTGCTGGCTGGGGAGGCAAAGACCAGAAAGCAAGAAGAGAGAAGCAGTCACTGGGCCCAGTGGCTGGTGGGGAATGTCACGAGAAGAGGGAGGTGGGAAGGAGAGGGAGGGGAACAGATGAACTAAGCCTTCGTTCATGGCTTAGTTCATGGAGTCAGGTCCCACTCACCTCCTGCCCCTCCATGGTCTCCTTTGGCTGCACTGGCCAAACCCCGACTCAAGACCCTCAGAGGTAGAGTCATGGCTGAAGGGACGCTGGGAACGGCACTGTCCTTCCACTCTCCTTCACCCAGCCTGCGTTCTCCTCCCTTCTCTGAGCCAATCACTTGAATGTCTATTTTTAGGGTTATTTAAAATGGGATTTGACTGGCAGGAGATCCTTTCCAGACAGCTGATGCACTGGCAAGGGAACACTTAAAGTAAAACATGCATCTGGTTTAGTGGTACAACCCTGTAGTTCCAGCATTTGGGGGGTGTAGGCAGGAGGATCTAAGTTCAAAGCCACTTTTGGCTATGGTAGTTAGTTTGAGGTCAGTTTTGTCTTGAAAGACAAAAACAAGAACAAAACAGCAAGAACAAAATAGTGAGAGAAAAGGCTGGGGGTGCAGCTAGTTGGTAGACTGCTTAGAGTATTTGTTTGTCTAGAACCCATAAGGCCCTGCATTTTGTTCCCAACCACATAAACCCAGTGTGATAGCCCAGATCTGTAATGCCAGCACTTGGATATGGAGGCAGGAGGATCGGGAGTTCAGGGCCATTCTTGGTTACATAGCAAGTTCAAGGCCAGCCTGTGCTACAGGAGACCCTGTCTTAATAAATAAATATCTGCATAAATAAAGTAAAGTGTGCTATTATTTTTCACAACGGCAAGGAACTTATTAAGTGCTGTGTTCCCAGTGGCTGGCACATGGTAGGCTTCTAATATGTATAAAATGAATGAAGTACCAATTAAAACAATTTTTAGGGGTTGGAGAGATGGCTCAGCAGTTAACACCCGCTGCTCTTGCAGAGGACATGGGTTCAATTGCCAGCACCCACATGGTAGCTAAAAACTGTAACTCCAGTTTCAGAGGAATCCAACACTCTCCTCTGACCTCTGTGGGCATTACACAGCACAGTTGCACTTACACACATGTGGGCAGTACACTCATACACATAAAATCAGCTCATGGTATTACTAATACATGCAGAGAGGCCTATACAAATCTGAGGTTAAAAACGAACCCCTCTGTGGGTCTGCAGTGTGCAGTGAGACACTCACTGCTGGGTGCTGGATGCAAAAAACTTCACCAACACATTCTTCTACCCACATCCTGCTTAGAAATGGATTCTTTGCTGAGCATGATGGTGCACACATACAATCCCTGCACTGAGGAAGCTGAGGCAGGAGGATTGCTGTGAGTTTGGTGCTAGACTGGGCTGAGGAACAAGACCCTTTCTCAAACTCCCTCACCCAAAATGGATTCTCCACATAAGTCATTTCCTTAGGCTGCCTCCTCCACGTCACTGAGTGATACAGCACTTTCTGGCAGTGCTTAAGTCCTTGTGCTCTAGTGCTGACAAGGCTGGGAATTAGGTCTGGTTTCTGTCTTAGAGAGGCAGGAATTGTACTGTGGATGGAAATCCCCAAATATAGGAAGAGTATTCGAAAGACGCTACGGTGCCAGACAGACTTGGCAAGTGTCTTCTGTGAAGTGTGCTATTTCAATCTGAAAACTTAACTACTTGGAGGAGAGAGAAGAAACCCAGGCAGGCTTGCATGAATCTTGCATTGACTCGGGTCATCAGAAAGCCACAGGACTCAGAAGGGATAACATCTGCCTTCCTTATTTTTATTCCCTCAGCAGCCAGCACGGAACCTGGCGTGAAGTAGGTGCTCCAAAACACCTGTCAAATGGATGTTTAAACCATGTTACTTTGATTAACTCTATATATAAAAAAAAAATACTACATTTTTTTTTCCTAGGCAGGGGTGCTGGAGGTGGGTCTCAGAGCCTTGTGCGTGCTAGACAGGCACTGACAAAGCTATATTCTCAACCCTTGGATTTTTGTTTCTCTCTCTCTCTCTCTCTCTCAATTGCTGAGATTACAGATATGGCTTAAATGGTGCTCAGAATAATATTTTGAACAGATGCCTACACACACACACACACACACACACACACACACACACACACCCATCATTCATACACACATAAAACTGAACAGCTTCTACCTGAACATGTTCCTCCCTTACTTCATCTTCCTTGTTGACCCCTCACTGGGCTGTAATGATTTCTTCCTGCAGTTGCCTCACCCTCTTGGACTTTAGAATTGCTGTGGAGACAAGGCTTTACCTGGTATCTATCGCCCTCCATACACAGCTCCCTCAAATCCCCTCCCTATTATGTGCGATTCTGATTATTGAAGAAAACAAAAAGAGGGTTTTTTTTGGGGGGGGGGCTGCAGAGATGGCTCAGTGGTTAAGAACACTGAATGTTCTTGCAGAAGACGCAGGTTCAGATCCCAGCACCCACATGGCAGCTAACAGCTGTCCGAAACTCCAGTCCCAGGGGATCCAACAGTCTCTTATGTCTGCAAAGGGCATTGCACGACAGGGGTGCGCTTACCTACATGCAGGCAATACATGTATACACATAAAATAAATATAATAAAATTATTAAGAGGGTTTTTTTATTTGAAGACTCTAACCCCCCCAACCCCACCCCAAGTAGTCCCTCGGAGGTTTTCTGGTGGCCATTGCCAGAAAGAAGGCTGGGAATTTCCACCCCTCTCTGTGCTCAGCTTAGCAACTCCTAAGAAGAGACTTGTTTGCTGGGACTTGTGTTGATTACCACTGTCCTCTGCTGCCATCATGTGGTGCACTTGCCCAAGTACCCGAGGCTTTTACTTGGTGATTCTTTAGACAGACTGTGGGAGTTTTTGTTTACAATAGTGTTGGTTTTGTGTGGTGCTGGGAATTGAACTTAGTACCCCGGTATGCAAGGGAATTGCTCTACCACTGAGTATATTCTTAGTCCATGTTTTTTTTTTTTTCCTTCTATTTGCTTTTTGAGACAGATTCTCTCACTGCATGCCCCAGGCTGGCCTGGGACTTGAAATCCTCCTGCCTAGGCCTCCTTAGAGCTGGAACTGCAGGTGTATGCCACCTCATTCAGCTGGGGTTTTGTCGCAACTGTTTCTGTGTTGATATAGTACAGTTTCCATATCCACCACTGTTCCATAAGTTCTCCCTTACACTACTAAGTAGATTGTTGACAAATCTTCCTATTTCTAGAAGTCTGGTTTATTCTTTGCTTCAAGGCAGAAAAAAACAAACAAACAAAACAAAACAAAACAACTCATTCAATTCCCAAGCCCTAGTGTGCATCATCCCAAGAATTTGTAGACATTTTCCAAGTAGTGGTGGTGAAGGGTGTAGAGGGGTGACTCAGTATCAACTCTCTTCCCTAGGGACACTGCATACTATTGTTACCAGAACTTTGGAGGATTCCTGCCAGAGTCACCACATGTTACTGGGGAATCAGGGTTCCCTCTTGGAGTTCTTAGTCCTTTTTTTTTGAGACAGGATTTTCCTGTATCCCAGCTGGCCTGAAACTCACTATGTAGATCAGTCTGGCCTCAGTCTCACAGAGATCTGCCTGCCTTTGCCTCCTGAGTGCTGGGATTAAAGGCATGTGCCACCACACCCAGCTGTCCTTAGTTTTCTTAATAAAAGAATTTAAGAATAGAGTCAGAAGAAAGCTTGAGGGCAGTTTCATTAGAGCTTAAAAGAAAAACCCCATGGCAGGCAAGCTGCAAATCTTAGCAGTTGGCTGGAGAAGGAAGATGGAGAGTAGAAAGAAAAAAGCCATGTCATTTGAGTTAAGCCCTGTACCAAAGGTCAGCTGCATGGCAGCGAGGGGAGCTTTAGAGAAACAATGAAGCCCAAAGTGTTAGGGAACGCATGCTTAGTCTCTGGACAGCATCTTGAAGAAAAAGACTGGACAGAAGAAAAAGAAAAGCTACACCTAAGTCAGGACTCAGAAGGATGGGCAGACTGAACAGAACCTCTCAGCAGCTCTGGAGAGACTGCACAGGGGCAGGAATTCTGGGAAGAAAAAGAACATTATCTCCTTAAAGGGATAATTATTCCCCCATCTCTTTAGTCAGTAGAGGCCAGAAGATGGTGTCAGATCCCCTGGAACTGGCATTACAGATGGTTGTTAGCTGCCATATGGGTGCTGGGAACTCAGCCCAGGTCCTCTGCAAGAGCAGCTTCTGAGCCATCTCTCCACTCTTAGTCCATTACTTTTAAATTCAGCCTCATTCAAGTTCTTGCGACACAGGCAGAATGCAGCCAGATTTATTTATTTTATTGCCAGAAAATAACCTGAATGGCCTCTAGTCCAGTTCCCATTAGAGTCCTTGATCCTCTCTGAAACTTCACGAGCTGGTCTTTCACAGTCCACATTTTACTTGGCCATCTGGTCTAGCAAAATCTTACCAGGATGGCCCATTAAGTTCTTATAGAATTTCAATGCTTTCTAGCCCGAAGTTCTGAACTCTTCCACATTCCTCCCAAAAACATTTCCAAAGACCAGAAATGGGGTCAATCCCCTGGAACTGGAGTTATAGATGGTTGTCAGCTGCCATGTGGGTACTGGGAACCCAGCCCAGGTCTTTTGCAAAAGCAGCCAGTACTCTTAACTTTTTAGTCAAATTTCCATTTCCTATTTTTTTTTTAATTCTATGTGTATGTGTATGTGTGTGTATGTGCCACAGTGCAGGTGAGGAGGTCAGTGGACAACTTGTAGGAGTCGGTTCTCTCCTACCATATGGGTCCCAGGATCAAACTCAGGTGGTCAGTGTTGGTGGCAAGTGCCTTTACCCACTGAACATCTCCCTGGTCTCCGTTTATAATATGTTCATTATATGGGTTCTCATCCTGAGGAGAACCCTAACTAACACAGATTTTGATATGCAGAAGTGATTCCATTGCTTTGCTAAACCTCTGTGGTTCTTAGGTCTTTGGAAATGTTTTTTGGGAGGAATGTGGAAGAGCAAGGTCCTAGGAGCCTGTAAAACTCTGTTTCTATATGGTCATACCTCCTCCTCTGGCTCTTACAATATTTCTTCCCTCTCTTCCACAGTGGTCCCTGAACCTTGTTGATCTATTTAATTTTAACTATTCCAGCGGGTGCACAGTAGAACTTATTGTGGTTTTACTTTACAGTTCTCTGGTTACTGTGACTGGACCAATCCCAAGAACTAGTACATTTATCTATCTGTCTGTCTGTCTATCTATCTATCTATCATCTATCTATCTATCATCTTACTGTACTCT